TTAACCCTTTGACTGTCAGGTAAGTTCCCCCACCCATTCTCCTCTTCTATGGTAATAGCTAGTGAGGATGAGAGTGAACATAACCTGTGACTTACCAATCTCACCTTTTGATAAATATCTCAGAGAAAACCTTGCTTATGAATAGCAAGAAACATATATCCAATAAGGTATTTTTCAGTGAGAAATTATATATAACCTAAATATTGACCAATAAAAGGCCTAAATACATATTGTGTATTTAGAACAGGGCTAGGGGTTTTCAATTCTACTGAAAACCATGTTAAATCCAAAATAAAGCAAGCAGCTGTTTGGACAGCATGCTGTGAGTGGCTTTCCTTACCAGATAACCATACACCTGCCATAATGCTGACATTTCCATCTCTGAAGCCTCTCTTTTTTGGTGAGGGCAACATCTGCTAAAGTGGAATTACATCTACAATAGGTATTGGGAATGGGAGTTCTAATACACTGCATTAGATAAAACAAAACACTTCATAGTCTTTTGATAGGCACTTAATGTGATTTTTCCCCCTCAAGAAATACAAAATACAGCACTCTCATGCTTTGGCCACCTGATGCGAACAGCTGACTCACTGGAAAAGACCTGGATGCTGGGAAAGATTAAAGGCAGGAGAAGAGGATGACAGAGGACGAGATTGTTGGATGGCATCATCGACTTGAGGGACATGAGTTTAAGCAAGCTTCCGGAGATGGTTAGAACAGGGAGACCTGGCATGCTGCAGTCCATGGGGTTGCAAAGAGTCAGATACAACTGAGCGACTGAACAACATGCTTGTTAGACCACAAAATCATTTTCTGTAAGAACCATTAAGTAGCAGTGTATTGTGGAACATACTTTAAGAAATTCTGAGTTAATTTACTGTCCCCCAAACACTTCTATTAACAAGAAAATGTTATCAGAGAGAAACACATTGACTTGTTAGAAAAACCTAATTTTATTATAGCACCTAAAATACTTATGTTACATTTTTGTGTAAACACTGTGTACTGTCCACAAATTAAAAGCATTTTGAAGTCATGAGTGGGAGAGATTTGCTATTCTAAATGATGAATGATTACTCAGTGACATCTGGCCAGTCTGCCCACTTTAAGCAAAATGGACTTGGAGGTACAAGTCAATATAAGAGTGACATTAGTTTGACTGAAAATAAATCTCTTTATTATGGCACTACTCATTTTCTGCCGTTGAAGGTATTAATTTTTAAGTATTGAATGCCTATTTTTCATAGTAATTTTTCATTCCTTTTATAAAATTAATGAGGCTAACACAAATGACAAAAAGAAGAGAAACAATCTAAAAGATAACTGGGGCTGGATCATGTCATTTCCCCCAACATCGTCACACTGCTCAAGTTAGAAAACCTAAAATCTGGATGCCTAACTAAATCACAAAAGATCAGGCCCCAGGTATTCCTGGTAAACCATTTTATGATTTATAATTGTTTTATTAGAATACTGAGTTCAATTTACTTACCTCTTTTTGGGATGTATGCATGTATCTCAAATGATATTGGTCTAGATTTTGCTTTTTAGGAGTTATCCTCATCTAATTTTATTATTGGGATATTTGCCTTATAGAATGATTCTGAAAAACTTCGTTAGAGACTGTCTATTCTTTAAAACTTTCTTGCCTGCAAAACTATTGACCCTAGTTTTTAAAAAGCAAGAGCATAACTATATTTCTTTTCCCTTGCCTACAGATCTCTTACATTATAAACCTATGTTAAAAAATCTATAAATTATAAATTGTTTAAAATATAAAATAGATTGTTCAGGTTTTCTATAGAATCTTGAGTCAATTTTGATCATTTAGCTTTCTCTAAATAGGTCATTCTCCTTATTTTCATACATAATGAAATATATGTATAATACATTCATAAACTTAAAAACTTTTAAATCTCTTTGATATATGTAGCTATTTGCAATTCCCAAACATAAAGCTGTAACTGAATCATCTTTTTTCCCTCAATAATAACTGCTGATTCTATATTAATGGTCTTTTCAAGGAGAATGTTCTTGGATAAAATCTACTAGTTTCTTATTTTACTTATACTTTAAAAAAATTGTATTTTAACCTTTATTGTATGAATTACTTACTGCTATTTACCTTAATTTAAAAAAAAATTGTTTTCTGGGAATTCCCCAGCAGTCCAGTTTTAGGACTTCTTGCTTTCACCGCAGAGGGCCTGGGTTCAATCCCTGGTGGGGGAACTAAGATTGCACCACCCATGCAGTGTGGCCAAAAAAAAAAAAATTCTGGCTTCAGCTAAATGCTTTTTTTTTTTTCCTAGTACATTTATCAACTTCCTGCTGTGTTACAGGCACAGTAGGTATGGTAACAGAGTGCTGAACTAATTCTCAAGGCAGGTTTTCTAAATGCATCAAGGTTACTATTTTTCTACCAAGTAGAGCTTTAGTGACTTCCCACAAATTTTTACCTGGAGGTATCAAATTATCATTTATCATGAATAGTTTAACATTTCAGATTTTCTACTTAAACAAAAACTTTACTATGGAAAATTTTAAATATATGCAAAGGTAGTGAGAATAGCACAAGGAACCCTATGTTCCCATTATTCAAGTTTCAACAATTAGCAACATTTTGCTGATCTTATTTCATCTATCCTTTCCACTTTTCACTTTTATTCAGTATTAAAAGCAAATCATACACATAATTTTATCTTTGAATACTTCAGTATGGATCTCTAATGCATAAGGATTTGTACACACACCCAAACCAATGCCATCATCATGCCTAACAAATGAATTCTTGTTGTTGCTAAGTCGTATCTGACTCTTTTGCAACCCCACTGACTATAGCCTGCTAGGCTCCTCTGTACATTAGATTGTCCAGGCAAGAATATTGGAATGGGTTGTCATTTCCTTCTCCAGGGGATCTTCCTGACCCAGGGATTGAACCTGTGTCTCCTACATTGCAGGAGGATTCTTTATTACTGAGCCACCTGGGAAGCCCAACAAATGAATAATAATCATTTAATATAATTTAATACCCATCCTAGGTTTACCTTTTCACAATAATGTGAGTTTTTTAAAAAATTTACCTGTCAGAATCAGGATTGTATTGAATATATTTTCTTATTTTCTATATTCTTGATGTTCTGGCATTTAGAGACTTGATCTTGGAGCAACTATCCCTTCTAGAGATAGCAAATTCCTTGACAAATGGCTCCCCTGTGAGCATGCTTTGATATACAAACCAACCAATCCAAAGTTGAAACTCCTTTATCAAACATCTTTAGCAAACTCTCAGACACCAAGTCAATATTCTTCCTGTCCTGAATCACCCCAGAGCCAAATACTGGACAACTAAGGACCACCACTGTAGCACTGAGTCCACAAAATTATTGAATCTATTTAGTCCTAAACTTGCTCAGTGTGCCTACCTGGCATCACATTGCCCATTCCTTCCTGGGAAAATTCAGTAAAGTTTCTGAGTCATGCTCTGCCCTTTCCTGCCTTCTGCCTCCTAACAGGACTAGGTGCTTCTTCCATGTGGTCCTATATGCATGCGGTGCTTCCTGTTGGTAGAAATCTCTGCCAGTAAGCTTCTTCCTTCATGATAATCATTTCCATGTCTTCATATCTTACCATACCTGATTAAAGCAAATCCTGGTACATTTTAACACAACATCTCAATACATTCCATACACTGTATTCAATTAACATATCTCTTAAGTTTCTTTTACTTTGTAAAATTCTGTTTTTATTGTCTTACCATATATTGGTTAAGAAAGTAGGCCTTTTTATTTTGTTGAATTTCCCATGTTATAGATTTGGCTCTTAGCTTTGTGTCATTAATTTGTTCATTTATTTCCCAAGTTTCCTGAAAACTGGGAGGTTTAGAGACCAAATTACACTTCTTAATCAATATTTTGGACAAGAATATGCCACAGGTAGTATTGCATCCATTGCATTGTATCAAGAAGCAATTACTTCTGCTGATTTAGAAATGTTACTATTGATTACTGGGTTGTCATTCTGCCCCATTCATTAAAATCTTCCTATAATCTTTCACCTAATGGTTTTCATACCCACTGAGATCATCAAGATCTACTAATTCATACGTAAAAAGTGTGATTGCTTGGATTCTATCATTCCTTTGACTTTTATTAGCTAGAATTCTCTAATAATAAAGAACTTTCCTTCACCAACTTCTGGTTGTCTTATATAGTCCGTAAAGGAAATATATAGTTCATAAAGGAAAGGCAAGATAAGTGCTCCATTTTCCCTGTTTATTTATTAATAAATGTCCTAATGTGCTCTGTAACTGATCAACACATTTGATCAGGAAAAAAAGAAGCTAGCAAAGGCTATAGCAATCACAACAAAAGGACACAGGATCCAAGCTGAAGGAATTCCCACTGGCTGATGATAGGATAATTTGAGCATTTTTTAAAAAGGTTGCAATGGATTTTTAAAGTGATACAGGACTTAGAGGTGATTTTTAATTTCTAAATAGTTTCTTTTTAACCTTTATTTAATACTTTATTTAATTATAGTTGATTTATAATACTGTTAGTTTTAGGTGTACAGCACAGTGATTCAGTTTTTTATATATGTACATATATACATATATACACACATGTATATATATAAATATATATATACAGTGTATTATATTCACATATATAGTGAATATATATATATTAAAAAAAATTATTTTCCATTATAGGGTATTGTAAGATATTGAACACAGTCTTCCCACTGCTATACAAGTAAATCCTTGTTGTTTACCTATTTTATATATGGTAGTGTGTATCTGTTAATCCCATACTTCTGATTTATCCCTCCATTTCCCTTTTGATAACCATGCTTGTTTTCTATGTCTGTGAGTCTGTTTCTGTTTTGTAAGTAAGTTTATTTGTACTATTTTTAGTTTCCACATATAAATGATACAGTATTTGTTTTTGTCTGACTTACTTCACTTAGTATGATAATCTCTAGGTCCATCCATCCTTCGTTAATTTTAAATAAAATTTATACTGAGGCAGAGAATATGACTGTAGAATATCTTCTCTTTTTTGCTTGTTGGGGTTTTTTCGGCCATGCCGTACAGCACGTAGTTCCCTGACTACAGATGGAACCAGCTTCCCCTGCAGTGAAAGTGCAGAGTCTTAACCACTGGACCACCAGGTAAGTCCCTAGAATATCTTCTTTTTTATGAACAAATTGAAAAAGAACTTCTTACTTTCAAGTATTTTAACAAGAATAAGTTGGGACTTCCCTGGTGGTCGAGTGGCTAAGACTCTACACTCCCAATGCAAGTGGCCCAGGTTTGATCCCTGGTCAGGGAACTAGATCCCACATGCCACAACAAGAGCTCACATGCTGCAACTAAGAACTGGGGTAGCCAAATAAATAAATAAATAAATAATATTAAAAAAAAACGAATAAGTTATCTGACATTCAATAACTGATGAGTGTTGATAGAAGGCATTTCTATATTCATTGTGCCCATAGTCTTTCATATGGATTTTCAAGAGAGTAACATAATAAAACAAAATTTAGTAGCTTAAAATAACAACCATTGTATCTCATGATTGTGTGGGTCAGGAATTTGGGCAGGGGCTCAGCTGGTCAATTTTTTTGTTCTACATGGCATCAACTGAGGTCACCTGTAGGAACTCAGCTGATGCTGGTCTGGAGCATCCAAAACTGTTTACTCAAATATCTGGTGTTTTCGTGGGCATATCTGGAAGATGGCACAGCAGAGTGCCTCTCCTTCTCTATGTAGTCTCAGGGCCTTTTCATGTGGTGTCTTTAGCAGAGTAGCCAGACTTTTTAATATAACAGTTTAAGGTCTCAACTTGAGAGAGTATTCCAAGAGATGAGGTAAAATCTACCGGTAAAATCTGGGCCCAGAAACTAGCACAGCAGTACTTCTACTATTCTACTGCTCAAAGCAGTCAGTCAACCCAGATTCACAGAGAAAGCATGTGGATTTTACCTCTTGATGGGTGAAGTGTCAAAGAATTTGCAGCAATTTTTACTCTGCCACAGTATTATAATTTTACAAATGAAGAAATTATAGTATGGAGCAGTTAAGCATCTTGTTCAATATAACACAAGTAGGAAAGTGATGGGCTAGAGAGAATGATGTCTTCCCCACATCTGTTACATTAATAAGATGAGTTTGTAGAATGAATGGGAATATTCTAAGATCTGACTTGGTGGAATACATTAAATTAACACATTCTGTTAATGATATAAGCCCCCTTATGCCAAGTCAGGTGCATGAATGAAGCAAAAGGGACTAATTACTACATTCACAGACTGTTCCACAACACAGGACTGACAAGGCATTCTCATATTTTTACACTATGAATTTTTAGGTGATGGGTAAGGTGTGAATGTTGTCTAAAGGCCTTCTTACATTCCTTACATTCATAGGGTTTCTCACCAGAATGAATTCTCAGATGTTGAATAAGAGATGAATTAAGTCTAAAGGCTTTCCTACATTCCTTACATTCAAAAGGTTTTTCACCAGTATGAATGCTCTGATGTAGAGTAAGTTTTTGGCGCAATCTAAAGGCCTTCCCACATTCCTTACATTTATAGGGTTTCTCACCAATATGAATACTCTGATGTTGTGTAAGTTGTGAGAGTAGTCTAAAGGCCTTCCCGCATTCCTTACAGTCATAGGGTTTAACACCAATATGAATACTCTGGTGTGAAATAAGTTGTGAGTAACGACTAAACGCCTTCCAGCATTCCTTACATTCATAAGGTTTCTCACCAGTATGAATTCTGTGATGAAGAATAAGATGATAACCACGACTAAAAGTCTTTCCACATTCCTTACATTCATAGGGCTTCTCACCAGTATGAATTCTCTGGTGGAGTGTCAGTTGTTGTCGTACTCTAAAGGCCTTCCCACATTCTTTACATTCATAGGGTTTCTCCCCAGTATGAAGTTTGTGATGTACTCTAAGGCCAGACCCACACAAAAAGGCCTTCCCACATTCTTTACATTCATAGAGTTTGTCAGCAATATTAAGCTTCTGATGTCGAGTAAGATGTGCATATTGCCTAAAGGCTTTCCCACATTCTGTACATACATAGGGTTTCTCACCAGTATGAATCCTCTGATGGAGAGTAAGTTGTCCACGAACTCTGAAGGCCTTCCCACATTCTTTACATACATAGGGTTTCTCACCAATATGAATTTTCTGATGTACTCTAAGTTCTGGGCCACACATGAAAGATTCCCCACATTCCTTACATTCATAGAGTTTTTCACCAGAATGAAGTCTCTGATGTCGAGTAAGATGTGCTGTCTGTCTAAATGCCATCCCACATTCCTTACATTCATAAGGTTTCTCACCAGTATGAATTCGATGATGAAATGTAAGTTGTTGGCGTACTCTAAAGGCCTTCCCACATTCCTTACATTCATAGGGTTTCTCGACATAATGAATTCTCTGACGTGAGGAAGGAGATGAGCGTTTTTGGTAAGGGGACATTTTTTGAGATGTGATTTTCACTTGGTTGAAATATTCCTCTTGTCCTTCAAATCTTCTTTTGGACTCCCAATCATTTTTTAAAATGAAGCTCTTAAGGCCATGGTTTTTAATTCTTTCCATTATTTTCCACTGGGATAAGTTTATTTCATAAATGTCATTTTCTGAAGATAACTTCTTGATCTCATAGTTGGTCTCTAAATCTGAAAGAAAACAAGAGAGCAAACACATGGTTTTCTTTTACTAAAAGAAGTAAATCTGGACTTCCCTGGTGGTCCAGTGGTTAAGAATCCAGCTGCCAAAGCAGGGGACATGGGTACAATCACTGGTCTGGGAACTAAGATCCTTCAAGTCACAGGGCCACTAAGCCCATGCACCACAACTACTCAGCCTGTGCTCTAGGGTCTACAAGCTGCAATCACTGAGCCTGTGTGTTGCAGTTACTAAAGCTCATGGGCCTAGAGCCTGTGATCTGCAATAAGAGAAGCCACCACAATTGTAGCCCATGCAATGCAATGAAGAACAGCCCCCTTATTCACTGCAACTAGAGAAAGCCCACACACAGCAACAAAGACCTAATGCAGCAAAAAAATAAATTAATTAATTAAAAAAAATATACAAACTGCAGCAGGTGATATTTTTTAAAAAGAAATAAAATTTCTCTTGTAGAAATAAAAGACAACCAAAGTACTACCCAATGAAATTCTAAAAATAGCTACACAATTTGGAAAAAAACCAAAAGGCAACACCAGGAAAATCAAAGTTCATGTAGGAAAGTAAGATTGGTGATTAAGTAAACACTTTAAATCTGTGGTTCTCATATTGAGACCATGAATCAGAATCACAAGGGAGCTTTTTATAAATATTATGATTTAGATACCACCTAAACCACATGGATCAGATTCTACAGTCCTAGACAGTCCTATATTTAATATTCCCCTCAGGATCATTCTGATGGAGAAAGATTGAAAATTCATACTTAAATTTTTTCAATAATTTCTCTTTATTCTTAGAATAAAATCAAACTTGTTGTTAAAAGACCTCTGCTTACCTATAATACATCACCTCAAACCACTGTTCTCTTTACTGCTACCAGGAGAAGCCACAACCCACTTCAGTATTCTTGTCTGGAGAATCCCATGGACAGAGGAGCCTAACAAGCTACAGTCCATGGGGTTGCAAAGAGTTGGACATGACTTAAGCAACTGAGCACACATGCACACACAGAGAGGCAACTGTTCAGATCTTAGAACATATTCCCACTTACTTTCATTGTACTTTTCAGTCTGCTCTATTTTCCAAAAATCTTCTGTTTGGGCTATTTGCATGGCTGACCCCTTCTCACTCTGAGGTCTTAGATTCAGTCACTCTAAGGCTGACTCTGCTGACAGTATCTAAAGCTGTATCCTTATTATATAGTTGACCCTTGAAAAACATGGGTTTGAACTGCACAGGTCCACTTATACATGAACTTTTTTCAATAAATATACAAACACATATGTGTAGAATATTGTGTACAAGACTTGTATTGAAGTGGATAGCCTATCCTTACATAGGCATAAGGTGAGTGATATTTAATACAAAATTAATGTGTCAGCTTTCTTACTGTTTTATCACTTTGCTTTCAAAGAATCACATTACTGTACACAGTGCTTCTTTCTCATGTAATTAGAGAAACCGTATATTAGCCTGTCATCACAGGTAAGTGGTTTTGTAAAAAATGTTTTCAATACATTTTATGAATATGACTGTAATACTGTATGCCATAAGTTTTATGCTGATTCATTCATTACTGTATAGGGTAGGCCACCATTAAGCATTCATATCAATTATATTAGGCTACCATAAAGCAATCATATTGCTGTTTCTTCATTATCGATGCATGAGTTATTATATTTGTAAATAAATATTAATTTTTTCACATTATCTTTTCATTTTAGATGTCCAGTGTTAGTAATACACTAATACCTACTTTGTTTTATATCATATAAGACAATATTGATGTAGGTTCTGACAGACAATTTATCTTATAAACAAACAACATAAACCTATGGTATCAATAAATATAGTACAGCACTATAAATGCATTTTTCTTTCTGATTTTCTTAATAATTTTTTTTACACTAATCTTATTGTAAGAATATAGTATATAATATATATAACATATAAAATATGTGTTAATCAACTATGTTATTGGTAAGGCCTTTGGTCAATAATAGGCTATTAGTAGTTAAGTGTGGGGGTAGTCATAAGTTATATGTAGATTTTTGCCTATGCTGGGGTTCAATATCCTAAACATTGGGTTGTTCATACATATATATCAACATAGATCTTTTGGCTCTTACTCACCTGGATATTGTCTTCTTCCTTGCCTCACTACTTTCCAGGGCTCTTTTCCTTGCTCTAATAAGGAAATCACATCTGGTTTAGAAATGAAGCATCCTGGACAGAAGGAGAGAAATATAAAGTGACATGGAATAATAATAAATTCAAAATTACTTTGATTTGGTCTTGGTTAAATTTTAATAAACTATAGGTCAAATTGTAATTGATAAAGCCTTTAGAACAAAGAAAAATAAGATGATTAAAAATATGTTAATATTACATAAGAAATGGAGATTACAGAGGAAAGAAAAAAGTCTTATTTTAATTTATATTCACACAAGTACTCCTTTTCTTGAAAGCAATAGTGGTTAAGAGACTGTCCTGGTTCAATCTTGCCTCTGCCATATTCCCATAGTGTGACCTTGGACAAGTTATTTCAATGCTTTATTTTCCTCACCTATAAAATAGGGATAATTATAGTACCTATCTTACATGAATGTTCCCATTTCCTAGAATATATACTAAGTGGTATATCTACTTTATTAGTTATTATTTATCATTGTTATTTTAATGAGAGAAAAAAGAGGTTTCCTGAGGCATTTGCTTTTTTTTTTTTTTCTTGAGATATCCATACAACGTTAAACGCAAAGTTCTTGGATTTTTAACTTTCAATCATACAAGTAGGTAGAAGCGAATATGTTTATTAACACAAAGAAAAAAGTCTTGAACTTTTCTTAAAATCAATCTAGTTGATACAACTTACTGTTTAAAAATTTATATGTTCTTTTGACAGCCAGAGAAAAGCTAAGATACTAGTTCTAGCTATTTGGGGCTTCCCATGTGGCTCAGTGGTAAAGAATTCACCTGTCAAGGAGGAGGTGTGCAGGAGACCTGGGTTCAATCTCTAGGGCAGGAAGATCCCCTGCAGAAGGAAATGGCAACCCTCTCCAGTATTCTTGCCTGGGAAATCCAATGGATAGAGGAGCTTGGTGGGCTGCAGTCCATGGGGTCACAAAAAGAGCTGCACAGAGACTTAGTGACTAAACAACAATAGAAGGTCACAGAAGGATGGGGAAGATGAATATGCTTAATGAGTGTGCTCATTTCCAAACAAAAAGCTCAAACCATTCCCTTGAGAACAGGGAGCAGATATTTAGTTTCTTAAAAAGTATTTCTAAAATTTCCAGAGAAGAAAGCTGATAGTACAGAGAAAAGAGACTAAATTTCTAAAGGCAGATAACCTTACCCAATGAGACCAAGTTGCTGTAGTTCTCTAACATTACATCTCTATACAAATCCCTCTGTTCCAAATTCAGGAATTCCCACTCCTCCAGAGAGAAGTCGATGGACACATCACTGAACATCACTGATCCCTGAAATGACAAGCCATATAATACAACTGAAATTAAAGAAAATTTGTTTTAAGATGGAAAGAGGGGAAAAAATGAAAGAGATACTGCTGGAAACCAATCAAGCAAACAGGTATGGGCTAGAAACCTGTAACACTGAGTTAGGAAATGAGAGTGCCTGCAGCAGAATGCCTGTGGGTCCCTGACCAACTGTGTTGCTACAGATAAAGCCTTTTATATACTCTGGCATATCTTAACTACCCAAACACATATGAGAAAGGAAAAAAAAGTTTTCTAATTAAATGAAATACTGTATATAAGCCTTCTGCCTGTTCTATGTCTCCCTCACAAATTCTTAAGAAATTTTTTTTTTTTTAAGAAATGTGTTCTTATACCCTTTCCTCTTAAAGAACAGACTGTTCCTTTAAAAAAAATTTTGATGGTTTTATCCTTTTTAAAAAAATTATGTATTTATTTTTGGCTACACTGGGTCTTCAGTGCTGCACATGGGCTTTTTCTAGCTGTGGTGCAAGGCCTTTTCTTTGTGGTGGCTTCTCCTGTTGCAGAGCACGGGCTTTACAGCACTTGGGCTCAGTAGTTGTGGTGCACTGGCTTTGCTGTCCTGTGGCATGTGGGATCTTCCCAGACCAGGGATCAAACCAGTGTCCCCTGCGTCGCAAGGCAGATTCTTTACCAATGGACTACCAGGGAAGCCCCAAGAACAGATTTTTTAAAAAAGTTTTCCTGGTAATTCTGATTAGAAGATCTGAATGCAATTAAAGAATTTCCTCCAAGTTCATCGTTGAATCAGACCATATGCATTTACCCAGTTATGACAAATTCTTTAGTGAACTTAAAATTGGTTGTATGCAATGGATATGTGAGACCTAATTATTCTTATATACTCCAATATTTTTGTCTATTCAAAATTTTTAAGGTCCTCCTCAATTCTGAAGGATTACAGCCACTCATGTGCCTGCATGATCTTTTTTTCTGCCATTTTCCATCCCTCATTGTATGCATTCCATGTTCCTGTGTTAGAGGATAATGTAGATTCTGGATACCAATAATCCAGAAATACAAAGATGTTATTCTAGACTAGCTCATCCTGTTCTAATACAAATGATGTACAGCTCTTAGGGATTTCCAGAGAAGACACTTGATGTCTCTGCATACTGGACCCAACCATAACCCTACCTAGTCCTAAAAGCCACACAAAACAAGAGGAGATCTCAGTGTATACTGAGGCTGAGGTCGTACGTGCATGCTCAGTCGCTCATTTGTGTCTGATTCACTAGACACTTCTGTCCATGGGATTTTCCCAGGCAAGAATACTGGAGTGGGTTACCACTTCCTCCTTCAGGGGATCTTTCTGACCCAGGGATTGAATCCGTGTCTCTTTCATTGCAGGCAGATTCTTTACTTCTGAGCCATGAGGGAAGCCCTAGGCTACGGTCAACCAACAGCAAATCTTACCTAATTACAAAACTCAAGTTTGCAAAAATTTAGTTTTCCTCTGAGCAATCAAATCAGCCCATGCTCTCTCAACTACTCAAAAGAGATGGCCAAACATCTCCCTAAAGGGACTTCATTTCTGCTTCACTGCAGTTTTTAGCAGAAGACTGAGCACATATAAGAGATGCTGAGCGACTTCCCTGGTGATCCAGTAGCTTAGATTCCATGCTCCCAATGCAGGGGGCCTGGGTTTGATCCCCGGTCAGAGAATTAGATCCCACATGCTGCAACTAAGAGTTCACATGCTGCAACTAAAGGTCTCGTGCTACAACTAAGACCCAGCGCGGCCAAAGAAATAAATACTTAAAAAAAGAGAGATGCTGAATGATTTGTTCTATGAATACATGAACAATAACTGGAAAAAAGAAGACCCACAAGAAGGGCACGGTACTATTTATTTGGCCTCATCTCTCATTGGATTTGGAAGAAATGGGTCCTTAGATGGGGCTCTGATCAGTGAGAAGTTTCAGGATAAATAAAAGTTCATAGGACCTTAATTTCCAGAAGGTGAAAGAAACCACAACTTACATGGGCCATGGTTTAGAAATTCAAGAACTGGTCAGTCCTCTTTGGGGTTTACTTGCCTGGAGAAGCAGAGTTCACAGAGGCCAGAGCTAAGGGGAGGGGAGAAAAAGGAGGCCATGAGATAAGATAGGCCTCAGAACTCTCAAAATGACTCAATTTAATACATTCTTTTTCTTCTCTGGACCTCCCCATCACACACACACATACACAGAGGGAGATTTGAGGGAGTATGGACAAATCTAATCCCTACTTGTACATTTCAAGAGACCACATCATCTAAGCCAGAATCTCTTCCAAGGTTTCACAAACCTGCTTAAATAGATACAAAGAGAGAAATTCATAGGATCATCTCTAGCAGCCAATCAGTTCAGTTCAGTCGCTCAGTCATGTCCTACTCTTTGTGACCCCACAGAATACAGCACACCAGGCTTCCCTGTCCATCACCAACTCCCAGAGCCTACTAAAACTACTCCATCATGTCAGTGATGCCATCCAACCATCTCATCCTCTGTCGTCCCCTTCTCTTCCCGCCTTCAATCTTTCCCAGCATCAGGGTCTTTTCCAACTGACAAACTACTGCACTGGCAGCCCTGCCTGCCTGCTCTCATAACAATAACTTCCAGAATCCACTGGGCTCATCACTATTTTCAATCAGATTCATCTACATTGCTTCCTGTATGACTTCATTTGTCATTCTCTTTCTTACAACCTAGGGTGAAAAGGTGGTGTGGATTCATGTTCTCAGCAGTTAGATAGTAACATATCTCTGTATCAAGAATTTTCACAAGAAAATGAAATAAAGGCATCCAAATTGGAAAGGAAGGATAAAACTACCTCTACTTGCTGACAAAATATATAAAAAACTCTAAAGACTCTACCAAAAACTGCTAGAACTAATAAAAGAATTCAGTGAAGCTGCAGGCTACAAAATTAACATACAAAAGTCAGTTGTGAGACTTCCTTGGTGGTCCAGCGGTTAAGAATCAACCTGCCAATGCAGGGGCGGTTCAATCCCTGGTCCATGCACTTGCCATGGGGCAATTAAGCCTGCGTGCCGCAACTACCAAAGCCCACATGCCCATGTTCCACAACAAGAGAAACCACTGCAATAAGAAGCCCGTGCACCACAACTAGAGAGCAGCCCCCACTCGCCACAACGAGAGAAAGCCTGCACACAGAAATGAAGACCCAGCACAGTCAAAAATAAATAAATTAAAAAAAAAATCTGTTGTGTATATCTACTAATAATGAACTATAAGAAAGAGAAACTAAGAAATAATCACATTTATAATTGTATGAAAAGATAAAATAACTAGGAATATATTTAACCATGAAGGTTAGAGACCTATACACTAAAAACTCTAAGACACTGATAAAAGAAACTGAAGATGACACAAACAGAAAGATATTCTATGCTCACAGATTATAAGAACATTGTTAAAATGTCCATACTAGCCAGAATAATCTATAGATTAAATGCAATCTTTATCAAAATTCCACTGGACTATTCTGTGGAACAAGAACAAACAATCCTAAAATCTACATGGAACAACAAAAGCCCCCAAACAGCTAAAGCAATCTTGAGAAAGAATACAGCTGGAGGTATCATGCTTCCTGATTTTAAACTATATTACAATGCAATAGTAATCAAAACAATATGATATTGGCCCCCCAAAACTAGACATATAGGTTGATGGAACAGAATAGAGCTCAGAAATACACAAAGAAATATATGCAAGGAAGTTCTTCAAAGAATAATTTATAATAAAAATACCAAACAATAGTCAACAAGCTAAGTACATTATGTTCCACTATATGATGGCATACTATACAATTAATGATGATGATACTGGCTCATATTAATTACTGAAGAAAGCTATCCATGATAAACTTCCAAGTACACTAAGCAGACTAAAAATAATATGTACAATGTTGGGAGGTGACGGACTCTCACAGGTTTTATTGGCAGGATCCAGGATGTGAATCTAATCTCTGACAGTTATCAACCAGGAAGGAGGCTTTGGACATGTTACTTAATTTTCAGTGCCTCTAGGTCCTCACAGACAAACTGGAGAATAACAACAGTATCTATCTTATAATAATAACAGTACCTATCTTATAGGGTTGTTGTTAACTGTTAATATAATAAAGAACTTAAAATGGCTTATTATAAACACTGAATAAAATAAAAAACATGAAACGTCCATTCTATTTATTAAATAAAATCATATTTAATACTTTTCATTACAATTTAAAATTTTTGATAAATTACCTTTAATAATACCAGAATACCCTTTTTTCCTTACTAGTAAATTTTTTTGAGATTTTTCACAACTGCTTTTTCTTAGAGCACCAGTAAAGTTTAGAACTAGGTTTAAGAATGTTATTTTTCTTAAGTAATAGTATTAGCAAACATGGATGTCTCCACAATCCTAAAATGTGTAAATTCTCACAAGGGGAAGTATCTGCCACATGGATATATGCACACAGGCACTCAAAGTGTTAGTCACTCAGTTGTGTCTGACTCTTTGCGACCCCGTGGATTGTAGCCCTGACAGGCTCCTCTGTCTATGGGACTGTCCAGGCAAAACTACTGGAGTGGGTTGCCTTTCATTTCTCCAGGGGATCTTCCCGGTCCAGGGAATGAACCTGGGTCTCCTGCATTGCAGGCAGACTCTTTACCGTCTGAGTAACTAGGGGAGCACCAACAGGCACTAGGGACGGGATATCAAGTTAAGTGACAGGTCATACTGAGAAGAAGGAAGCAAATGTTCTCAGGTCCTAAAAAACAAAAATGTGTGTGTTCTGTGTTCACAGAACAAAAGGAAAACACCCACTCGCCTCGACCTTGACTTCTAGGTGGGCAACAGCAATTCATTTCTCCTCCTCAACACAGCCCTTTTCTTAGTTTGACAAGACGAGGAAGAAGGGAATCTTAAGACAGGCCTTTTACAGAGCCCAGCTCATCCAGGCAGGACGAATAGGGCCATGACCACACGTGTCCCCACCACCCACCAACCACCATGCCGGAGTAAGTAAGCGTAAAAGTACGGACCCTTCCTAGGATTAGAGAAAAGCCAGGGTCACGGCTGTGCTGGGCTGGAAACCAACTTCAGAGAGGGAATTCCGCAGTTGGAAGGTTTGGAGCTGTTTGCGAAAGCGTAGGTGGGTTGGTGGGTGGGTGAGCGAGTGAGTGTCCGTCCAGGCGCGCCGGCCCGAGGATGCAGTGTGGCGGGGTATGTGGGTGTGTGCGTGTGAGTGTGTCCGTGTGTCCGCGCGCGCCCGCCCGAGGATGTAGTGCGGTGGGGATACTCCCAGGAGCCAACCTGGGGGCACGTTCCGTTCTANGGGGGGGGGGGGGGGGGGGGGGCATTACTCTAAGGCTGATAAGAAAATTTCAGCTGTGACTCTGGGGTCGGAGTCACACAGTCCACCTCAACCTCCGGTCACACAAGAGACTCTGAACCCGATTAAGTCACACAAACGCAAACCCACTAGTTCCGGCCTCACAATCACACACAGTCCCAATGACACACCCCGGTTCAGTCACGCCCACAGACAACAGCACACCGTTATACTACCGCGGTTCTCACGCACACTCGCGGCTTGAGGGGCGGGGCTCCAGACAATCCGAGGTGCTGCAGTGCTTACCTTCCCTATCCTTATTCCCGGGTCACACGGCTTTCCTACCGATGGCCGGAACAAACGTTCTGAGCCAGGACTGGTCACCTGGGACGCCGAACCCCTCTCACGGTGATGCTAGTGGAAGAGGGGGCGAGACAGCTCAGGTCAGTACACAGCCTCGGGGCCTAACGGGCCGCGCGCAGGGGTTGTTGGGAGCTTCGGCAGCACGCACTGAGTAGCGCAGGCGCGGTGGAGCCCCAGAGGGCGGGGCCTCAGCGAGCGAGCTGATTTCAGATGTGTCCTGTCGAAGGAGCCGGAGAGCCGGTTGGTGCCCAGCGAGGGTGGGGTTCTCAGCTCTTTGTCCTGAGGAAGTCGCGACAGTGCTTGGAGCTGGGCGGGGACGAACGACTGACACAATAAAGGGGGATGATGTGCATGCATAAATAGAACTCTCCGTGGGGCAAACCTAGAAGGTCTGTGACCGAGGACTGCTCTTGTGTATCTATGTTTGGAGTAGTTCTGGATGTGACTTTTTCATTGAATGTGACTTGTGTTTGAGATGGAGCGACTGCGGGGATTGGAATGCGGCTTAAAGATTTTAGGGCTGGAATTGTGTCGGGTGATGTGGGACTGAGAATGTTGTGGGGGCCTGGGATAGTGAGACTGAGTGTGAGAGTGCCTGAGGTTGCGTTTCTGTGAACGTGTCTGTAATGTGACTCGGTTTTGATAGATTTGTTTTTCTTGGGCCTTCTCTACAGACCGTGGATGTGAGTCATTCAGTGTGTGTTTTAGAAACGACATGCCTGATTATGTGGTCAGTGTGTGTACTTCTGGTATGTTCCTGCAGGATTGTGAGGAGGTGGTTGTCGGCAGGATTGGATGTGACCAATAGCCTCATTCTTCTCAACTCTGAAATAAATGTTGCATCTTCAAGGAGCATCAGCTTCACTGAAGGATTTTTCTGGGAAATTATATTTAACCAGGTTTATTAGGGAGGAAAATGCAAATAAGCATTACCTATTTTACAGTATATCCTGCTTACACAGTGTTTAAAAGATAACTTGAAATAATTCTTTTCCTGTGCCTTAAATAAATTCTGTAATTAATTATAACCCAGCAAATATATAAAAATCCATGAGCAAGAGAAAAAGGAGTGAAAAAGGAAAGCTCCACTTTATAGGAGGATGCCAGCTAATAAGTTTGTTTTACAAGACTATGAACTCTGCTTCAAACACATTTACAATATTTGGTTTTGATGAGGATTTTGTATAGTATGGTGTCTTCCTTTAAATTCAAGTTCATTTTATTGCCTTCTCTTATGTCACTTATCATCTGCAGTTAGGGAAGATAGTGACATTGTTAGAATGAACATATCTTCATGACATGAAGGCTAGCCATCGGTGGGTTAATATTAACACAGTTTATCAGGCAATACTAAGTTTTCTTTGAAATCAGCCTCTGATTTTTTTCCCCAAGGCTTAATGTTTGCCTTGTCTGATGGTGACCAGCTAGCAGAGCCTCTCTTCTTTAAAGAGCCTTGACACTCACAGTGTTACTTATGTTGGTGGAAAAAAGGTACCCAGGGAATAGGTTTTCCAAAGCAGGGCAATAGCTGGGTGGATGAGTCTAATTAATTACAAAAGACGTGCTGGCAGCTTGTATTCATCCTCAAATGCATTTCTACTGGGGTGAGGGCTTAAGCCTATGTGGTTTCTGGGTCCTTATCCAGGGAGTTGTTGTTGTTCAGTAGCTAAATCATGTCCAACTCTTTTCGACCCCATGGACCACAGCATGCCAGACTTCCTTGTTATCCTCATCCATCAGAGGGCAGACAGAAAAAGTAAGAACTACAATCCCATGGCCTCCAGAAAGAAAACCACAATCACAGAAAACTAACCAAAATGATCACATGGATCACAGCCTTGTGTAACTCAATGAAACTATAAGCCAAGCCAGGCCATGCAGGGCCACCCAAGATGGATGGGTCATGGTGGAAAGTTCTGACAAACGTGGTCCACTGGAGAAGGGGATGGCAAACCACTTCGGTGTTCTTGCTTTGAGAACACCATGAACAGTAGGAAAAGGCAAAAAGATAGGACACTGGAAGATAAGCTTCCCAGGTTGGTAGATGTCTAGGGAGGGAGGCACTGATCACTCCTTAGGTGTAGATTGCCCAGTCCAACCTTATATTTGCTTACTAAAGAGTTCTGGTCCCACTTCCAATGTCAGGGTGTATGTGTGCATTGAGTTCCCCACACCCCCAAGCAGTTCTCAAACACCAGCTGGGTGTCTGCAATTTGACTGAATTCTGACTCTGTACCTGGAGATAGTGTCAGATTTCAGAGGTTAATCACTCAGTCTTATATCTCCCCATCCCCAACTTCAAGATGTTGTTTAATTGCTTAGTTGTGTCTGCTCTTTTGTGACCCCATGGACTGTAGTCCAGCAGGCTTCTCTGTCCATGAGATTTCTAGGCAAGAACACTGGAGTGGGTTTCCATTTCCTTCTCCAGGGGATCTTCCTGACCCAGAGATCAAATCCACATCTCCTGCATTGGCAGGTAGATTCTTAACCACTGAGCCACCAGGGAAACTCCCAACTTCAGATGCCAGTTTCAAGTCCAGGTTATCACCTGCACCTTGGACCAACTAGTTATAGATTGGAGGTTCCAGCAACCCACTCCCTGGGTTTGGTTCATTTACTAGAGGAGCTAACAGAACTCATAGAGACATTTTACTTACTGGATTACTGGTTTATTATAAAACGATATAACTCAGGAACAGCCAGGCAGAAGAGATGAACATGGCAAGGCATAGGGAAAGGGCACAGTTTACATGCCCTTGCTGAACTTCCACATATTCTTGCCCACCACTGTCCCTGAATTTCTACATTTTTACACAATCAGAAGCTCTCTGAACCCCATCCTTTTGGGTTTTTATGGAAGTCTCATTACATGCCTATGGTTGATTAAATCATTGGCCACTGGTGATTGATCCAACCTCTAGCCCTCCTCCCCTCCCTGGAGGTCAGGGTTGTGGGACTGAAAGTTCCAACCCTCTAATCACATGGTTGGCTCTGGAAACCAGCCTCCATCCTTAGGTGTAGTCCATACCTCATTAACACAGCAAGAGATGTCTTGATCACCCTCATCACAGGATATTCCAAGAGTTTTAGAGATCTGTGCCAGAAACAGGAAGAAGACTAAACATATATTTATTATAAATCATAATATCACACTTATTCTCCATCATCATTGTTGCTATGAGCAGATGGATTCTGAGTACAAAGTCCTCTGAGAAACACTAGGGAAGTGCTGGCACAAGAAAGGCCATGTGAAGACACAGTGAGAAGGTGGCCATCTGCAAGCCAAGGAGAGAGGCAGGAAACACTTGCTGACATCTTGATCTTGGCCTATTAGCAACCAGAACTGTGAGAAAATAAATTTCTGTTGCTTAAGCCACCCAGTCTGTGGTAATTTGTTTTGACAGCCTTAGCAAACTAATACAGATAGTACCCTCATGAACCCCCAAAAAGAGCAGGTGGGGAGGGACTTCCCTGGTGGTATAGTGGTTGACAATTTAACTTCCAATGCAGGGTCCAGTCTCTGGTCAGGGAACTAGATCCCACATGCCAGAGGGAAACTAAGCCTACAAGTTGCAATGAAGATTCCTCAAGGCTAAGACTACCAAAAATAAATAAATAAATATTTTTTAAAAAGCAAGTGGGAAAAAAAATCATATTGCAATACCTGTACAGTGAATCTGTGCATCTGTGAAGAAGGAAGCCAAGCGAAGTAACTGGACATATGAAGTAATATGAAAACAAGAGAACACCAAAGCAGATATTCACCAGAAAACACAGTGGGCCAAAATGAGAACAAAAACTGAAACAGGATGCAGCTTTGTCCACAGCAATGGGAGTGAGGTGGAAGTGGTCCATGAAGGAAGCTCCGAAGGGGCTCGTGAAGTCCTGTCTGTGAGAGCTCTCAAAGTAGACAGCCCAAATTTTTTTTCCAGGAGAAAGTTCCTCCCTGAGGAGAAAACACAAAGAATGGAATCATAAGTGTCAGAAAGCCATTATGTGTGTGTGTGTGTGTGTGTGTGTGTGTGTGTGTGTGTGTGTAAACATATATGTGTGTAGGCACATGTCATATGTTGTTGTTTAGTCGCTAAGTCATGTCCAACTCTTTGTGACTCCATGAACTGCAGCACGCCAGGCTTCCCTATTCTCCAGTATCTCCCAGAGTTTGCTCAAATTCATGTCCATTGAATTGGTGATTCCATCTAACCATCTCATCCTTGGCCGTTCCCTTCTCGTGCCCTCAATCTTTCCTGAATCATGGTCTTTTCCAGTGAGTCAGCTCTTCACATCAGGTGGCCAAGGTATGGCCCAGGAGAAACATCAACAACCTCAGATATGCAGATGATACCACTCTAATGGCAGAAAGTGAAGAGGAACTAGAGAGCCGTAAAAGAAGAAAGTGGGAAAAGCTACTTAAAAAAAACTAAGATCATGGCATCCGGTCCTATCACTTCATACAAACAGAATGGGAAGAAGTGGAAGCTGTGACAGATTTTATTTTCTTGAGCTCCAGAATCACTGCGGATGGTGACTGTGGCCATGAAATTAAAAGACACTTGCTCCTTGGAAGGAAAGCTATGACAAACCCAGACAGTGTATTAAAAAGCAGAGATATTACTTTGCTGCCAAAGGTCCTTATAGTCAAAGCTGTAGTTTTTCCAGTAGTCATGTACAGTTGTGAGAGCTGGACCATAAAGAAGGCTGAGCATCAAAGAACTGATGCTTTCAAACTGTGGTTCTGGAGAAGACTCTTGAGAGTCCCTTGGACTGCAAGTAGATCAAACCAGTCAATCCTAAAGGAAATCAACCCTGACTATTCACTGGAAGGACTGATGCTGAAGCTCTAATACTTTGGCTACCTGATGTGAACAGCAACTGACTCGTTGGGAAAGATTGATTCTGGGAAAGACTGAGGGCAAAAGGAGAAGGGGGTGACAGAGGATGAGATGGTTAGATAACATCACTGAGTCAATGGACGTGAACTTGAGCAAACTCCGGGAGATAGTGAAGGACGGGGAGCCTGGAGTGCTATAGTCTATGGGGTCCCAAAGAGTTGGACATGACTGAGGGACTGAACAACAAGAACAGATAGAACTGGAGTTGCAATTAAATTTCAATATTAGAAGAAACAATGAATGAACAGTTTCCAAAGATGATGACATCCACTGATTCAAATTGTCTAACCTAAACCTATTATGGAAAAACTGCATAAAATCGAAGACAATGAGAAAATCTTAAAAAAAAAAAGTAAACAAAAAGATAAATTACATTCATATTAGCCAATAGACTAACAGCTGACTTTTCACAGAAGCAATGAAAGTTAGGAGAGTGGAATTTATGGCTGAAATAAAATAATAATGAGATATAGGGAAAATGATCCCAGATGGTAGTGCTGAGAAACAAGAATGAATGAAAAGCAATTTAGGAATTACAGGGGCAAATGTAAATGAACACTGACTATAAAAAATTGTTATGTCTAGAAGGTTAAAAAAAGATAATAAAATGCAAGATAGCAATAACCTACATTGGGATATGGGTAGATAAATGTAGCTAAAGTACTCTATGTATGGTCTGTTGTCACATGAATGAATAAAGAGATGGTTTTAGACTTTTATAGGTTTAAATATTCATGCTATTTTCTTAAGTAGACCTTAAAGTACAGAAATAGTATGTAGAATTTCCAATAATAGAGATTAAAAAACAATGATAATTTTTAAAATCATGAAGAAAAAAAAGAGGAAAAAAGAATATAGAATCAGAAAGATAAACAGAAAAGAACAAAGTTAATATGGCAAATTTAAAGATAAATATATCAGTAATTATACTGAATAAACTGGATCTAATACTCTATTTAAAAGACAAAGATCACTTTGATGTTTGACAGAAAACAATAAAATTCTGTAAAGCAATTATCCTTCCATTAAAAATAAATACATAAAAAAATACAAAGAAAGTCACATTGAATTTAAAGAATGCAACTATATTGTGTTTATAAACACATCTATAACTTAAGGGCACAAAAAATTGAAATTAAATTGTATCATGCAAACAATAAACATGAAGGTTCATGTACCTATACTACTAGCAGACAACCTAAACTTTAAGACAAGATGCATTATTAGAGATACCTGTTTGAAGATCTTGTCTGATGTAGTTATCTTGCAAGAGTGTTATTTTTTCTCATGCTCCCCTCCTCTAATATCCAGACCATAAATTATAATCAAATGTCAGCATATTCTGAAAGTCAAACCTAATATCAAAAACATTGTCTAAGGATAATGTAGAGAATACATGAAGAAATACTTTTACCAGTAGACACAACAGTGATTCCAATACAATGCAAAGTGGGACTTGTTGCTATCGTTTAATCACTAAGTTGTGTCTGACTCTTTGGCAACCCCATGGACCGTAACCTGCCAGGGTCCTCTGTCCATGGGATTTCCCAGGCAAGAATACTGGAGTGGGTTGCCATTTCCTTCTCCAGGGGACCTTTTCGACCCAGAGTTCAAACCCACGTCTCCTGCACTGGCAAGCAGATTCTTTACCACGGAGCCGCCAAGGAAGCCCAAAGTAAGACTATAACTTGGCAATTTAGAGCTCCTCATGACCCTGGACAACAGACCAAAGACAGGGATGGGAAAGGAAGAAGGGTATAGGTTGGTGTTTGCCAGGCTGGTTGATCCTGGCTCTGAAGGGAGAGACAGATTTGAAATTTCCAAATGGAACATGGATAGAACCCAAAGATTCCCCTGGGTCAACTCCTACTTCTATTGTTTCCAGTAGTAAAAGTTAATAGAAGACTATAATAATAAGGATTCAGGTCCTTTATGAAAGGTTTGGGTGTGGGAATTTCCCTGGTGGTCCGGTGGCTAAGATTCCTCAGTCCCAATGCAGGGGTCTGGGTTCCATCCTTGGTCAGGGAACTAGATCCTACATGCCACAACTAAAGATCCTGCAGGCTGCAACAAAGATCGAAGATCCTAAGACCTGGCACAGCCAAATAAATAAATAATTAAATAAATACATTTTTTTAAAAGGGAATGTGTCATAACTACCATTTACAGAGAAGACTGGAGTATCTATCTAATTTATATATAGCTATCTGTTCTAACTGTGGGGAGGGCTTCCCTGGTAGCTCAGCTGGTAAAGAATCCACCTGCAGTGCGGGATTCCTGGGTTTGATCCCTGGGTTGGGAAGAGCCCTTGGAGGAGAGCATAGCAACCCACTCCAGTACTCTAGGCTGGAGAAGCCCCACGGACAGAGAAGCCTGATGGGCTATACAGTCCACGGGGCCACAAAGAGTCGGACAGGACTGAGCAACTAAGCACAGCACATAATTGTGGTGGCTCAGCAGTAAAGAATCCACCTGCCAATGCAGGAGCCTTGAGTTAGATCCATGGGTCAGGAAGATCCCCTGGAGAAGGAAATGGTTACCTACTCCAGTATTTTCCCCTGGGAAATCCCATGGACAGAGGAGCTACATGGGGTACAGTGCATGGAGGGGTCGCAAAAGAGTTCGACAAGATTTAGCAACTGAACAACAATATATTTTGATTACATTTCTTTTTTACTCTCCTTTTTCTTCTATGTAAGTTGTTACAACTTATACAAAATTTACAGAACATCTACAAAGAGATCCTGACAGATACAGAGGAGGTAGACACATTACCCAGCACATTTTTGGTTGAATGGGAAATGGCTATATTAAGTGAAGTTTTCATTTTCAGCTGTGGGAAGAATTACGCATGATTAACAGGATGCCATCTTGTAAATACTGGCCACTTGTTTGGCTGCCCATTTCATGTACACACTTGCTCTGATGGGAAACATCCACCTTTAAGAAGTAGGGGCTGATTCTCACAAATTGAAAATGTGTCTCAGCCTCCACAGCAGCTAATGCACAGGCAAGAAACCTAGGATTCGACATTTAAACACATCCCCCTCAAAACAGCAAGCACTTGGTACAGAGGAACAAGGGCTGTGAAAATTCCATCTGGGTGATGGGTAACCTGCGGTACCCAGGTGGCAGTAGCAGGAACACCCAGAGCCCAGCATCCATGGTGTCAGTAGTGTACGCCGAGGATTCTGTATACAGCAGCACCAGTGGCGACCTCACTACACAAGTTCTGTGTTATCATTTAGAGCATTGTTTCTGGATCTGTATCTCTGTTCTTCAGCATTCTAAGATTTTCCATGAGCAACTCAATGTCATCTGAATGAATTCCTTATCTATTCCAGTTAATAAAATGTAGAACATATTTACTGTAAATGGTATGTTTTATTTCCAAATAAAACAAAGATGGCTATGGAAAAATTTTTTGTGGGTGACAATTGACTATAACTTTCTTCTCCTGATTTCTGGACAGACTAAGTAATATAGCAGTTTTGTTCATAATGCTTTATTGAAAGTGGCAGCCTGAACTAGGAGTTAATGCACATTCTAATACTTCATTCAAACTCTAGATACTGGGACATATACCAGCAGAGGAATGGGTCTGCAGAGTCTCTCTGCAGAGGGAATCACAGCCTGCCCCAGGAAATATGAGAAATTCAGAGTCAAATAAAGGGAGGAAATTTATGTGCTTTAACACATTTCACCAAGGTAATAAATCTTTCTTTGATAACACACAAGCACCAGGATGAAAACAGGAAGCAGAAATAATCCTCAAAATCCAACTCTCCAATCTGTAATAATGGGAAAATCTGGTTAAAAAGTCCTGCTCAAAATCCACCATGATCAGGTCTGCATCATAAAATAAGAAAATAAAAAGGTGTAATAGTGTGAGATGGGTATATACATTATCTGCACATTATAGAAGGTCAAAAGAATCTAATACTTTATAATCAATACCTGAATAATATATCAAGACTTGGACTTCCCTGGTGGTCCAGGGGTTAAGAATCTGCCTGCCAATGCAGGAGACCCAGGTTTGATCCCTGATCTGGAGATTCCACAAGCCTGTGCACCACAACTACTAAATCTGCACTCTAGAACATGTTCTCCTCAATAAGTGAAGCCACCACAGTGAGGAGTCCAAGCACCACAAATGGAGAGTAGCCCCTGCTTGCTGCAACTAGAGAAAGCCCGTGCAACAGCAAAGACCCAGAACAGCCAAAAATAAATAAAATTTCAAAATGTCAGACTTTCAGATATTACTAGAATATTTTAAGGAATAATTATGTACATTATAAAAATATTAAGAGTAAGGATGAACAGCTGTCAAAGAAATTTCAAGACATACATATATTAATGAATATCTACTCAGTGTGAATTGTGCACTCGTTTGGGATATCTATATTTATTTATTTGGCTGCACCAGGTCTTAGTTGTAGCACAGAGGCCCTTTAGTTGAGATCTAGTTCCCCGACCAGGGATTGAACCCGGGTCTCATGAATTGGGAGCACAGTCTTAGCGACTGGACTAACAGGGAAGTCCCAGGCATAGTCTGTATTTAAATTTAATAATCCCAGTGAGATTTTTACTGGATTTAAAAAATTTCTAAATTCTAATGAAGAAATATTTGTCTTTATTTTCAAATAAAAACTATGTTTATATGTATTTTTATTTACAAATAATGTTACTGAAAAGTATAAATCAAAGGTTGCTGGTAAACAGATCTGAGGTTATGAGCATTTAACATATGATAGATAGTATTTTAATTCAGAAGATGAATAGTTTAAAAATTGTTTCTGGTATAACTGGTTTTATTTCTGCATGTAAACAAAGGTGACATACTATGTCACACCATATATACTAATCAATCCAGATGGATCAAATGTGAAATCTGTGTGTATGTGTGTTTAGTCGCTAAATCGTGTCTGACTCTTTGCGACCCCTTGGGAACTGCAGTGTGTCAGGCTTCCCTGTCCTTCACTGTCTCCCAGAGTTTGCTCAAACTCATGTTCACTGTACATACCTACATAAAACATATATGAAAAACTTCACTTTTTTCCTTTATCCTCTTGCCCTCTGAAATTTTCTATAAGTAATACTTTTCTAAGAAACATTATTTGGAAATATTTTGGGAAACCTACTTTATAGAAATAAAATAAATAGACAAGAATATAACACGTGACTGTTTATTGCAGCACTAATTGTAAATGGAAAAGAGACAATCTGAAATATCACATCTGGGGAAATACTGCAGTTGAATAGGTATCAGTACAAGCAGAGTGTGGAATATACTCCAGCCACTAAAACAACTAAGTTCAGTCATCATTTACTGACTCAAAAGAAAATCCAAAATGTACAGTTGTATGTAAAAAAGAAAATTACAGAGAAATGTATAAAGTATCATCCACTTTTTGGGCAAAAAAATACTAAAATAATTTGTGTTAATGTTTAAGCAGAAGAAATATACGGGGGAGATACACGAGGTGCAGACATTACTCAAAAGGAAATGGACACAGAAAGAGGGAGTGAGGAATGGAGAGAAACAGAGATACTAAGGTTTTTTGTTTTTTTTTTTTTGCATTGTTTCATTGGTTTCACTGCAAATGCATTACTTCTGTAATTTTACTAATAGAAGAGGAAATAATAAATGACTTAAAATATGCACACTAAAGAATATAAAATTTCACTTACTTTTCATTTTTTGTTGTTGTTTAGTCACTCAGTTGTGTCAGACTCCTGGCTAACTTTTGGATTGTAGCCCCAGGCTCCTCTGTCCATGGGATTTCCCAGGCAGGAATACTGGAGTGGGTTGCCATTTCCTCCTCCAGGGGGATCTTCCTGACACAGGGATTGAACCCTATGGTCTATGGTCTCCTGAATTGCAGGCAGATTCTTTACCACTGAGCTACCAAGAAGCAAGCCCCAGTTCTCATTTTAGTGTAATGCCAAACATTAGAACAAAATAGCCTCGTCTTTACTAATTCTCCCATCTGCACGTATGTTGCTCACTCTATTTCTCTCAAATTGATTATGAAATATTTTACTTCTTCATGCCTGGTAAAAATAAAGTAGCTCAATGTTTTGTCCTCTAACGTGGGACCTAGGAAGAAAAGAGACTGGGGCATGAAAGGACAGACCTGTAGTAACTTTGGACATACGGATTTTCCTTCCACAGAATGGTACCATCCAAATGTAGGAAGCTGCTTGTTGAGCGTGAAAACTGAAGCACAGTAGACTCATCTCAAAACACTAACCTAACCTTGGGGTGGGTGTTGTGTCTGACTCTTTGGGATCCGTTGGGACTCTTGCCCTTCAGGCTCCTCTGTCCATGGGATTTCCCAGGCAAGAATACTGGAGTGGGTTGCCATTTCCTCCTCCAGGGGGATCTTCCTGACACAGGGATTGAACCCTATGGTCTATGGTCTCCTGCATTGCAGGCAGATTCTTTACCACTGAGCCACTGGGAAAGCTTTCAACCTAACCCTATACAAAGCTAAATTATGGGATACTTTTTTAAAACTTCAGAATTTCTTTAGAAAATTTAATAGGCCTCCACACTATAGTGGCAGAGGTGAGTAGTTCCAACAGAAACAGTATGACCTACAAAGGGTAAAATATTTACTTTCTGGCCCTTTACATAAAGTTTGCTGACTCTTAGTCTAAAACACAATACAAAATTCTACTGACATATTTGCTAAGCTAGTGCAAAATAGTGGTGACCTGGTTATTTTTCTTCTGAATAGGTTAACTCTTTAAATTGTGTGTGTATATATACATGTATGTGTGTACATATATATATATATATAAGAATGGGATTACAATGTATAAAATATATCCTATTTTTTAACTGACATGATGCTGAGAATTAAAAAAAACTGCATGTAGAAAATATGGGACTGAATCAAGTCCTTAAAAAATCTTTGTATCTGGAGCTTATCAGCTTTATCTCTTAAAATATTTTCCACATCTAAGAAATGATGGGTAAATTATCTTGTATTTTACTATTCCCTTGCCCTCCCCCCACCTCCAATTTCCTTGGGGTTAAGAGATTTGCACTATAAAAAACTCCTAGTGAGCCTTTTGCAGTCACTGTCCAGAACAAAAATAACCTGAGTCACTTGCTACTTGGAGAGTCAATGTATCTTCTATGGTCCACATGTTTTAAAAAACAAAAATAAAAACCCCCTCAGCTGCCATTTAAAAAATCAAGCGCTATCACACACTGAAAAAAAAGGTAGATTTCTGGATTGTCCCCAAAAGTCAGAAGAGCTGACAAAACAAGGGCTGCATTTTCGTATAGCACTTCTTAGCTAGAACTGGACACTGCGGAGCCTCTTCAGTTACTGTCCCAGCCCAAGTTCATTCTTGTTCTTTATTTAATAGATACCAGTGGTAAAGAATCAGTCTGCCAATGCAGGAGACACGGGTTCAATCCCTTGGTCAGGAAGAACCCTGGAGAAGCAAATGTTAATCCACTCCAGTATTCTTGGCTGGGAAATCCCATGGATAAGGGGAGCCTGGCGGGCTACAGTCCATGGGGTCGCAGTCGGATACGACCTAGAGACTGAACGACAAAAGTTTACTTTTTCTTAGTATGCTTGTATACATCTTCACAGATCACCCTGATAAAATAACTTGTGTCCTCCTAATTCATTCCTAACATTAGGATTATGTTAAAGTGTGTTATGTCTACTTCTATATAACAAATAGCTCCTTGCTCAAGTTTTGCCTCTTCTCAAGAAAAAACATTCTGTAAGTATGGATGGTGATAGATATTAACTAGATTTATTATGGTGTTCATTTTCCAACATACAGGCTTCCCTGGTGGCTCAGATGTAAAGAATCTGCCTGCAACATGTGAGACGAAGGTTTGATCTCTGGGTCAGGAAGATCCCCTGGAAAAGGGAAGTTACTCATTCCAGTATTCTTGCCTGAGGAATCATGTGGATAGAGGAGCCCGGAGGCCTACAGCCCATGGGACTGCAAAGAGTGGGACATGTCTGAGCAACTAACACACTTTTCCCAATATATAAAAATATTAGATCACTATGTTGTACACCTGAAACTAACCTAATGTTGATGTCATTTATACCCCAATTTTTTACAAAGAGTTGCTCCTGAAAAGAAACTGGGTTTGATTATTCATTAGTAATGTGTGCTATGCTGCTGTTTAGTTGCTCAGTTGTGTCCAACTCTTTGTGACACCACAGAGTGTAGCCTGCCAGATTCCTCTGTCCATGGATTTCCCAGGCAAGGATACCGGAGTGGGTTGCCTTTTTCTTCTCCAAGGGATCTTCCCAACCCAGGGGCTGAACCTTCATCTCCCGCATTGCACATAGATCCTTCACCACTGAGCCACCAAGATACTATAACTCACACTAAATTTCCCCTTTTACCTCTTTATAAGAGTTCCCCAAGAGTTCTAATTCTGTGTGTCAATACTGGTAATTTTAATTTTTGTAAAAAATTTTGTCTAGGTTTTCAAATGTATTAGAAGCACTGTATTCAGTATAACATTTAAAATTGGTAACTGTAAAGTTTCTCTTTATGTGTATGCACATCTTATTTTCAAACATAGTGCTGTTTGTCTTTTCATACTTTTTCACTAGTGTCAGCAATGTTGTCTATATTATTGTCTGTCTTTACATTAGGTATTTTACAATGTAGTAGAAAGGATACCAGTCTGAATACACAGCCTTTCCTACTCATTATACATGTTACTTTCTGCACCAACACCCAGGAGTAATTCATGTTCCACAGGAAGTAAATGATAGAAAATTTCTTAATTCATTACCCTCAATGGGTCTTTCTTCAATTATGTATCCTGTCTGATGTTGAGTATGGTCTGTAGAAACAGTTGCTTTTTGACAAATAATACTAATAAAGTGATAATGATGAATACAATTAACAACAAACAGTCTGTATTATAGGACAGGCACAATTCTAAGCACTTTGTGTGTCTTTATTTGATCCTCACACAGAATTCTGAGGTAGGTATTATATTATTCCCATTTTTATCATTTCTACCAAGAAATATATGTATAGAAACATAGAAAAATGCTCAGGAAGAATAAATACTAAACAGATAAAGACTATCCTTTAGGAAGCGATATGGGAACAAGGATAGTAGTCAAAGGTCTTATTTGTAATGTTTCAATCTATTATAGTGAAAATATACTTATGCATTATTTCAGCAATTAAAATAAGACATAATACAAAAATACGCCTAGGGAGAATGTTCACCAGGACACTGTGTATTAATGGCAAAAACTGGAGGAAATGACAATGTCTATCAATAGGGACTTGATGAAATGATACAGCAACACAAGGAAACACTGAAAGGATAGTAAAGGATCTCTATTTACTGAGTGGTTAAGTCATTCATGAATGTTTTACAAGAAAAGTCTAAGTTTTGTAAAGAGTAAAAACAGTAAGCCATCTTCAAAAATAAAGAGGTCACTTCTCTTGGGTATTAGAAGTATCTTAAAAATAAAAGATATTTTACAAACTATGCTGTAAACAGATAAGACTTTACAGTCATGTAAATTTTAATGGATTAAAAGATTGAGAATATAACAACTACAAGAAAAATGGGGGGAATATGAAAATTACAGGATTACATTTCTGTATGTATTCTCTGATGTTTCAGATAAGGTTAGAAAGATGCACGAAGTGCTCTTGTCATTTTGAATATTTACTAGACTGAGAAGTAGGAGGTTTTACTAAAAGGGCTTCCAAAATATATTCTACTCATAGAGTATTTCTCCTACATGATTTTTCCTGGGCTGAACAAGCTGTAGTCAACAAAAAAGATGTTTCTATCTTATTTTATTCAGAGGGATTAATATTAAGATAAATTCTCTTTTGTTGAGTTGATGTTAAATAGTTTTGAGCTGTAAACAGAAGTTTTTGCACAATTTTGTATATTCTATGTTTTATCACCAGTACAAATTTTGATGTTGAACCAGCTGTGAGTCATAATTAAAGGTCTTTGCACATTCCCTGTATTCATAGGCCTTCTCACTAGTATGAATTCTATGATGACTAGTAAGTTGTGAACTCTGAGAATAGGCTTTCCCACATATCTTACATTCATAGGGCTTCTCACCAGTATGAATTCTCTGATGTCGAGTAAGGTCTGAGCCAGAACGAAAAGCCTTTTCACATTCCTTACATTCGTAGGGTTTCTCACCCGTGTGGATTCTCTGATGTTTAATAAGTTGCGAGCTTTGACTAAAGGCATTCCCACATTCCTTACATTCATAGGGTTTCTCCCCTGTATGAATTCTCTGATGTTGAGTAAAGTTTGAGCCACTACTGAAGGCCTTCCCACATTCTTTACATTCATAGGGCTTCTCACCAGTGTGAATTCTCTGATGTCGAGCGAAGTTGGAGCCACTGCTGAAGGCCTTCCCGCACTCTTTACATTCATAGGGTTTCTCACCAGTGTGAATTCTGTGATGTCGGGTAAGGTCTGAGCCACAAATAAAGGTTTTCCCACATTCCTTACATTCAAAGGGTTTCTTGCCAGAATGAATTTTCTGATGATGACTGAGTCTTGAGGGATGTCTAAAGGCCTTTCCACATTCCTTACACTCATAGGGTTTCTCAACAGTATGGATGATCTGATGTGTGGTAAGCTGGGAGTCATGTCTGAAGGTTTTCCTATATTCCTTAGTTGCACAGTATTTCTCTTTACTATTATTCATGATTTGCTGTAATGTAAAGGATGGATGTTGACTAAAAGTAGGCATGCCTTCATGGGTGAATATCAGTTGACTGAAATGTCCCTCCTGAGAGCCATGTTGTTTCTCAAACTGGCCATTACAGTCCCATTCATCTCTGAAACTGGAGCACTGAAGGTCGTGTCTTGTAAGTCTGTCCATTATCTCCCACTGGGCTGACTCTATTTCATAAATTTCCTTCTTCAGAAATAATTTCTTGGTCTCACATCTTGACTCCAGGACTGAAAGAAAATATGAAAGCAATCACTCACATTTTCCTTGTTTGGAGAAATAAAATTTCAATTAAAATGAAAGAAATTAAACTGAATTTTTAAAAACTGGATGAGAAAAGAGTGAGGAGAGATGACATAGTAAGATAAAGGTAGGAAGTAAGTCTGTGGTTTCTAAATGTTGCTATATATCAGAATTATTTAGGGGAGCTTTCTAAATACACAGATGCCTTAAACTTCCTTGTTATAGGATGACTCTAATCAGACATACACATGCACAAAATCTCACAGCATACACAAACACTCATATAAGAACATCCCACAGCATGAACTGTAAAATAAAGGAAATGATCATACCTATTTTTTTTTTTTGGTAAAGTCATTTATTTGGATTCATAGTTTTACAAAGGGAATTCTTTCCCACTTTGTAGTAGAAGAAAAATTCAGTCACATTTAGATTGTTATATAGGTCAGTCTTTTGCAGGGAGATGTTTAAGCATACAGTATATAACCTTAAAAGGCTATAAAGTTACCACAAAAAAAAACCCAAACTTGCTTCTTCTTTTTCCTTTTTTTTTTTTTTTTCTTGCCCTTTTTTGTTTGGTTCGGGGCTTTTTGCTTTTTTCTTCAAAAAGTTTTCAGGATTATTGGCCGGCGGTTTGGTTTGGTTGGTTAGGTTTCCGGCCGGGGTTTAAAGGATCCCCCTTCCTTTTTCTTTTTCGTTGGTTCGTTTGGTTCGGCTTTTTGGGCCCCCGGGGCTTTTGGCTTGCCGGGTTCTTTTGACCTTGGAGTTTCCTAGGCAAGAATACTAGAGTGGAATCATAGCTACTTAATAGAGTTGTTGTCAGCACATATGTATATATATATATTTTGGCCACACTGCATGGCATGTGGGATCCTAGATACCCACCCAAGGATGGAACTCTAGGCTTAATCACTGGACCACCAGGCAAGTCCCTGTTGTCAGGATTAAATGAACGTGTCTAAGGAAAAATGTCCAGGGGCTGGCAAACTATGGACTGCAGCCCTGCAATAATTTTTCTAACTGTAACACAGTCACACTTATTTGTTTATATATTATCTATGACTGTTTATGAGTTCTGGTTGCAATAGAGACCACATTGACTGCAAATCTAAAATATTTACTATCTAGCCCTTTAAGAAAAAGTTTGCCAGACCCTGCTTAGTTCTATGTTGTCCACTGCAGTAGCTACTAGCACATGTGTCTATTTGAATTTAATATAATTAAAATTAAAAATTCTAATTCAGTTCCTCAATGGCACTACCCACATATCAAGTGTTCAATAGCCAAATGTGTCTAGTGTCTACCATACTGGAAATCAGAAACATAAGACACTTCCACCATCACTGAAAAATTCTAGATTAAGTAGAGGCTTAGTTTTTCTTTAATCAATGATAGGGAAATAGAAGGTACCAATCCAGACAGGAGAATACCTTAAGAAAAGTCGAGTAATGAACCTAGCATGAGTTCATTATTCTATATGAGTATATATGAGTTCATATATGAGTTCATATATATGAGTTCATATACTACAGGGAGGATTTTTTGTAGCTGGACATGGTATATGTTTGGGGGTCTGATGACAATACTATGCCTTGGAATTCTGTGATTCTGAACTATGGGAAAAAAGGAAAGGACTTGACAAGTGCACAAGCACTTAGTGGTGACGACCAACTGACAGGAAGGGTATTTGCAGGTTCAAAGATAAGGGAAAAGAATGTAATGGGAGGCAGTATATTGCTATTGAAAGAATAGAGGTATAAGATGAATTCTGAACTCAAACTCAGTTAATTACCCGCTTTGTTTTCTTGGACATGTTAGTTCATCTTTCTGAGCCCCCAACAGTCTGTCTATATGATAGAAATAAATAACTCTTATGATCATTTTGAGGACTAAGAATAGTATATGAAAAAATACTTGGTATAAAATGCATATTTAGCATCTGGGAGGTAATATTATGGAAGGATTTCCATACAAAAATGGAGATGTTGGCAAGTGAAATGTTTTGAAGACCACACTATGGATCCAGAGAGAAAATTCAAGTCAAAAAAGTGAAGATCATTCTAGTACCATCTTCTTCCTCTCATGTAATTATTTAGCAAATACTGTCTAATTTTGCCCCATGTATATCCTAAACTCTTCCCTTTATATACAATATAATATGTAATATGAAATAGCTCTTTCTTGGACTAGAATAGCCTCTTACCTACTTCCCCCGACTTGAGCTTTGTAATCTTGATTTTGTAATCTTGAATCCATGTCACTAGAATAGCATTATCCTGTCACTGTTCTGTTTAAAATTCTTTGATGGTTTCCTATACTACACTGCTCTCACAATAAAAGCCAAACTCCTGAATATGGTTTACAAAGCTTTGAATGATCTGGCTCCTGCCTGCCTTTCAACCAAATCTCACTCACCCTATGTTCCATTTTGGTTTCTAAGCTTCATCCACACTGGCCCTATTTAGTAGTTCTTCAAGTGCTCCTAGCTATTAGTCTCTATCTAGACCTTTCTAGGTCCTTTTTCTTATGTTTACAGGTATTTTCTTTTATCCTTGGCCTTGATACTTACTATTCATTTTCCAAATCTCTACTTAAAGGTCATACTTTCTGAGGCCTCCTATGATCCTCTGATCAAATTACGTTGTTTAGTTGCTAAGTTGTGTCCGACTCTATGCGACCCTGTGGACTATTTGTAGCCCGCCAGGCTCTTCTATCCATAGGATTCTCCTGGAAAGAATACTGGAGTGGGTTGGCATTTCCTTTTCCAGGGGATCTTCCTGACCCAGGGATCAAACCTGCATCTCTTGCATTGGCAAGTGAGCCACCAGAGAAGCCCAAATAGGCTTTGAGTCACTAGCTATTTCAGGAAAATATTGAACATCAGAGCTTAAAATAAACAGAAAATAAGAACTCAAGAGAGACAACAAAGGGGTAAAAAAAAATCCCCAAATTCAGAAAACCTATGCTTCTAAAAACAATATTATATGACAATCCTATAAGAGAGTGATGCCAGGAAAAGAAATACTGAAAGACGAATTTCTTTCTTTGTATTTTATAAAAATACAAAGGTAAGAACTTAAAACCTCACAGAAAGTATAACATAAAAAGAGAGACAGAAACTGGGGGTGGGGGGGAAGAGTAGATACAAACTACTGTATATAAAGGAGATAACAATAAGGTATAGCCTAGGGAACTATATTCAATATCCTGCAGTAAAGCATAATGACAAGAATATGAAAAAGAATATGTGTATATCTATGTATAACTGAGTCACTTCACTGTTTGCCAGAAACTAACACAACATTGTGAATCAACTATACTTCAATTAAAAAAAAAAAATTCTAGGGGTAGCACAAGAAATTTAAGATCTGAATTATGAATGTTTAATCATTCAAAAAATTTAATGAGTTCTTATTATGTGTCAGACATGATGGTAAGCACCGGACCTGAAAAGTGATCTATCAAATAAAGGAAAAGAGAAAACAATAGGGAACAAACCTTCAACAAAATAATAGTAGAAAATTTCAGAGTTTTAGTTTCCAGAGTGAGTGAGTGTTTAGCCAAACGAAAAAAAAAAAAAAAAAAAAATTGTGCCCTAAATCCGCTCGAGCCTGTGCCCTGAAGCAAGAGAAGCCCCTGCACCGCAACGGAGAGCAGCCCCCACTCTCAGCAACCACAGAAAGCCGGTGCACAGCAACAAAGAACTGCTACAGTCGAAAAATCAAATAAATCTTAAAAAAAAATAGTAAGAAAACAAATCAAGAAAAACGCAGGCAGGAGATCCAACAGACTAGGTATAGACAAGAATCCAAGGAATGCAAATACAGAAGAGAATCAAAGTGAATTCAAAGGGAAGGAGTTAAGGGAATCAATGGGATGATCCTAAGGGAATCCACTGGATGACAATAAAGGGAAACTCTAAAATAACAGCTATGTTACACCACATCTGGGGAAGAAGAACAGAGGGTTTAGAGGAGGGATGTCTCAGTTAAAAAACAAACCACAGCTACCTGATGTGTCTCAAAAAAGATTACTGACAGATAAACAGAAAACTAACCAGTTCTCACTTAAGACAGTTTAACTTCACGAAAAAGAAAAGTTGTACAAGGAGTGAAATGGGACTAGAGCTTGGCAACAAAAAATTTACATAGTTATTAAGTAAACTGAATAATTAAATTGTGATATACTATGTAGGGAGAATAAGGAAAGAGGGTTTAAAGTAAGACAAATCTTCAAATTCCCCAGTGAAAAGTCAATCATTACTAAAACTAGAATGAACTCTTGAAAAAAAGGCTTTCAGAAGAGAAAGGATAGAAATGGTAACTGAAAGAAAAAAAAAGATGATAGGGTCATGGGGTAAGAAAATTATATAGGAAATAAATGTAAGATATGAGTTCTAGAAGAATATGGTGATGATGCAGAAACAACAGTTAAGACAGATTCCCAGAGTTGAAGAAAACTTAGTAATCAGATGGTTCCTTTCTGCACTGAGCAGAATTGAGGAAAGAGTTTTAACTAGATATATCTTGGTAGAATTTCTGAGGTTCAGAGAAAAAGAAAACTCCATGTAAGTAATAATCCAATGAATCAGGTTGTATCCTACTCACGTGTTTGTGTTTGGTGTTGCCCCAACAGTTCTCTAAAATTTTAAATGAGTTACCAGTGTTGACGTTATCAGATTTAATACAGAAATC